GTTTGCATATTTATATATATATCAGCGTTTCCTCTAGGATTTTTTCAAGCTGTGCTGGCAGACCTTTTTTTACACACTTTTTTTTACCAACTACCTGTGGTGTTATTTCAGTGACAAATGTTGAGAGAGCAGTATTAGAAGTAGAGATCGCATTTATGTAATAGCCTACAGCATGCGCATCTCTTTGCCTGCGCGCCGATTTCCTCTGCTTGCACGCCCCCTCAAATATAAGCCGCTTCTAGAGCACGCAGATCTTCTTGTGCGCTCTCAAATAAAGGCTCCTGAAGTGCGATTTAGTGCGTTTATGTCATTTAGTGTGTTTATGTCTCCAGCATTTATTAGATTTGCTAGGAATATTTATGGATGTCTCTAATATACCTAGAGCAATATTAATGTGTCCTGAAGTTGTCAGGGTTGGTGATGGGAAATGGGGAAAAAGGAGCGAGGACTCAAATGCAGGGAAATGGGATTTTATTAAATAATAAAAATAAAATAAAATGCAAAATAAACTACCCCGAGGGGGAAAACATTAACAAAACAAATACATACACATACAAACAGGACTGGACAGACTGGCAACGATGAGGACTGGAAACACAACAGGACTAGACTTCAAACGACGAAATGTGATGACGAACTGACACAGGACAGCAAAAGTGAGGGGTATATAAACTGTAGAAGATTAACACACAAACAGGTGAACACAATTAACTAATAATGGGTTAACAAGGAGGGTGGGACAAGACAATAGACGGGAGAGCGCATGACACAGAGAGACAACACAAGCCATGCGCTCACATAACACAACAAGAACATGCAGCCAAAGAGAGAACTCATTAACCGCATGTTCATGACAACAAACACAACACTGAAGCACACGACAAAAGCACGTGACCACAATGTAAACACCGAGCCACGTGCTTTGACAAGAGACGCAAGACACGAGCACACGATGAATGAAAACTCACCATGCGCTCACATATGCAGCATGCATGCTTCATCCCAGCGCCGACCAAAACCGAAACCAACAAGACTGAGACGCTGGGAATGAAACACCATGCTGCTGACAGACGAAAACACAAACACGAGTACAAGAGCCCACGCGTCTGAGGGACGCAGAGCGCGCACGCGGCCACGTCAAGCAGGAGCGCGCACACTCTGCGTACACCCACGACGGCGCGCGCACACAGAGACAGAAACAGGACCAGACATGAGTAGCGTCAAAGATCTGCCACCCAAAACAAGAATTTACAAGATCAGAGTGGCAGAACCCTGACAGAAGTAAATTACAGTTACAGAAAAGTTTCCTCTGTTATAATTCACTAACCTTTTAATACGTTTTGGTGTTATTATTACCCGCTATTAAAAACATCAAATGTTTTGAATGAGAAGCTGTAATGTAGGCGTGGCGGGATGAATTTTGGCGTGACACCCCGTCATGGAAGAATTAATGTAGCAGAAACCATATATATATATATATATAAATATATATATATATATATATATATATATATATATATATATATATATATATATATATATATATATATATATATATATATATATATATATATATATATATATATATATATATATATATATATATATATATATATATATATATATATATATATATATATATATATATATATAT